AGTGTCCCATGACTGACGAACTGGTGCCACCAACTGTTTGAGAAACACACAATTCCTAATATTCACGTTAACAGCATTAATTCTCTTTTTCTTTCGCAAAGTTCCTGGAAATTTGTTTAGAATTTGCCCTAAATTTGGATGGAAACTTGACTAATGTCTACAGAAGTCGAATTGTAACGTCTCAGTTTACTTCTGACGGGCTTAATTCGACGTCTCTACAGTATATCTCCTTCCATTGCAAACAATTAACTCTCCGAGGTCAAGGTTGTTTTAACAGGTGCTTTATTGGAGCACACAGCCCTGCACACACACACTTAAATCTAATAATCCAGACCAATTTAAACATAAAGCTGTCGCAGGAGAAGGGAAACAGCCATTTCCTCTCTGACCACAGCCCAGTAACAGCCCCAAACACCAAAGCTGCACACTTCTGTTCACCTTTGAGCATGTGTGTATGTCAAGGGTTGGTGAGTACGTGGTGCAGGAGCACTCTGCAGCTTCCTGTTCAGTAATGGTCAAATGCCACCGGCTCAACAGTGTTTCTCTTGACAATCTAATACACACTCACGAAGAGGTTAGCGGTCAGTCCGCAGTGGAAGCCACATCCTGTTCCCTGGAGGCTATTTGCTTTGAGCTTTGAGTACTACTTCTGCACGGCAGTCTTTGACGGAAATTTCCACCATTGCTCATGAATTTACATGGTTGTTTTATCTTTTTATCTAACCAAATGAGACCTGTTATTAAAACTCAACTTGTATCATTGTTGCACATTTTAGTATTCCAACCCAAAAAGTCTTCATTGCTGTCACTCTACATCTCCTCTGGAGTAGTTTGAGAGGATGGAGTGTTATCATTAACCCTGTGAGACCCACCATAGACCCATGGTGGCCTTTTTTAAGGGGGACAGGGGATATTCAGCAGGAGATAGCACATCAACAGTATATGCCACATAAAAGTGGTATACATCATCAGAAAGCTGGGAACATGAAAATTATTTTTAGATACAGCCTCGCACTGTGTCAAGTTTTTCCCGTCATAATTCTGAGATACACATTGTGTTTTGGTTAGCCGCCTATTCTTTTGAGTGTATAGGTTTTTAAAACATTATGATGGATGTGTATGATGGCCATTCCCGTGCTTAGTTGTGTTGCACAATTTTTTTGTATCAATTTTTAGGTTGATACTATTTGTTACACAGATTTGGTGAAAAAATGAATTGAAAAATTGTCAAAAATCCCTCCAAAGTACCACATTAAGACACCAAGACCTTGAGTAACACCATAGAAGAATCCATGCTGTGATTTGGTGCCAATACCTCTTGACATTTGGAGATTCCTGGCATTTTTTGGCAATTGGATAGCAAACACTTCTGTTCTGGAAATTGCTCAGGAACTCGTTAATGTCAATAAACTTAAGAAATCCAAACATCGTCCCATTGCCCAAGGTCTCAAGTTCGTGGCTGTAAAGTTCCATGAGGTTGTGATTATCCTAGAGATCACAATAGGTCATTTTGTACAGTGATGTCAAGTTTCAAATAAAGCTCTCACTACAGTTAAATGGACGAACATCACACATGAATACAGTTGGGCTCATTGTGTCCATAAGAGTCTCAGCTTTCCAGTCATACCCAATATATGCAATTCCAAGGTCCAAGTTTAAGGACTCCACCATGCTGAATAATCAAATACACCAGATTTATAATAGGTGAAAATAACACATTTCTACAGCAGACAAAAAACTGGATTGGTTTCTGCCCAATACTGCATGGGATTAGCATAAAGTGGGCATGTCCATATTTTCATTTTCATTCAGATATCTAGAGGTGAGAGGTGAAGGGATCCTTGTGAAAATGGCCATGCTAGTTTTTCCCTCGTCAAAATTAAGCCTAACTTTGGAGCATTATTTACTGACCTCCCCAACAGGCATCCATCGGTACCAACTATGTCATGCTAGCTTTAGGTTGTCTAGTTTGACATGATAAATTAAACAATGATTAAAAATGAGTGTAGCCTCTTAAAGACAGTTAAAGACAGTCAACAGTGATCCTGCGGGTCTCAGAAGGTTAATTTTCCCTGTCCTGTGCATCCCAAACTGGTAGAGACCTGAGTTAGTGACCTTTGATATAAGGACCTTCCCACATTCCTAAACTCATAACTGCACCCACAGCCCCCTCCCTTCTGACAGGCCTGAATCCATACATACTAATTGCTCTTACATTTCTCAAAGCCACCTGCACCCTGCCAGTTGTCTGAACATCTTCAAAGAGATCCCCACCCCGTGACATTTGTGTCTACGTACATGTCAGGTCATTGCTGTGTAAAGTGGAGGGGTGTGTATGTTGTGTGTCATTAGCTTCTCTCGTTCCTAGAATAAAGAAAAAAATGCATTACTCTCTTTTATTGAGCATACACAGACGTGCACACATCCAAACAGCACAGCTAAATAGATTCCTGGCAAACACAAGCTGTGTTGACAGGAGAGATGAGCTGCTGTTCCTGTTGCAGCTTGCCGAAGGCACAGAGCCGGGCCCACGTTCAAAACGAGCCGCCACTGTTAAAGCCACAAAGCCAGCAGACTTGTTGCTACTGCCTCTGCCAACACACACAAACACACACACACACACGCACACACACACACACAGTCGCACATTGCTTTATCAAAGGCGGCCGGGCGGGTGCTTGACTATTTGAACAGGTGATTCCCATTTACATCTGCTGACCGTATTGGCTTCGTGCGTTCTAGGAAGTCGCACTGTCAGGCGAGTCAATCACGCACAGAGAGCTGGTTGCACATTTATTTGCTGCATTATTGGAAATAATGCTGTAAAGGAGACTGATTTATTGGAGGTGTAATCTTCACTATTAGCATGAGGAAGAGAGACTAATTTTCAAGGGCACCTTTTTGTGAGTCTGTGTCTCAGTTTGCTGCTACCCAGTGGCTGTTGTGGTTTGACCAAATTGAACAAGTGCATTTCATCTGAGTTGCATAATATTATTGAGGTCGCTCTGCCGGCCTGTCTGACAGGTTGCCCTAGCGACTAATGATGATGATTGTCTTGTATAATAAGACCGGAGGTGTCACGGAACACCCTCAGGTCAAGGTGTGATTAAACCATTTCCTTTCAAATACAATATTTAACCATGGATGTTTAATAGGGACTCTGATTTGGGTTGTTCCAACTGTACAAGTACAGCAGACACTAAATGTCCACACCTAAAACAATGGCTTCAAAAATATGTTTTAAAAATCTATAGAACTCATGTAGATGGTATGACAACACCGACAGTCACTTTCAGATTGATTTCATGGGCCATAGAAACACTTCTCTGTCAACACAGCTGTAGGGCTTTTCCACTGGCACTGTAGGCCATGACAAGTCAAATCATGATATGCTTTCCCATGATCGGTTTAAACACAACGAGTTGTGCCCAAGATGGACTTACCAGGCGGTCAGAAGAGTCATTTATATTTCATATGTATGCAAATAATTTAACTTTTAAGGTATAATGTAACTTGCATGTTACTCAATGCATGATTTGACGTCCTGGGTCAATCAACACACTTTAAAAGGCAATTTGACAACTTTGACAACGTTCTTGTGTACTTATTGCATGACATATGCTTAAGTGATGATTGGATCTTCAAGCGTTTAAAAAAGTATGTTAGTTTTTAACAGATTATGCAAACTGAATATTCTATATCCTCACTTGGAGGAAAAAAGTGGTGGAGTTAAGTAGCGGTGCACTCTAGCAGCACTACACCTGTGTTTCTGAGACATTACAAGCAAAGTGGAGGAGAACTCATGTTCATGTTGCGGTGAGAGAAAATTAAATAAACCCAAACAACTGTAAGAAAGTTGTTGACAACATTAACACTTGTGAGGCAGACATAAAAAAAATGCTCTGTTGCTTCACAAGCACAAGCACGTCATAAGTTAAAGACGAATCTTTAAGGAGATGCAGATCCAAGTTAAACTGGGCTGACGGGCCGAGTCAGGCCAGCATACGTGTATATGTGCCGGTTAACCACCAGTTTTCCACAATTAAAAATCAGTTCATCAGTATACTAATCTTAAATCACACAGCACGCTCCTTCATCAAGCCTGAGCAAACACTGCCACTGAACGTGCAACTTGTCTGTCATGAGAGCAGATGTTGTGATCGAGAAGCAGTCGGTTCTGATTGGAAAGTTGGAGAGAATCCTTATAAGGGTATGTCAGGGAAAAGTGGAGAAGATCAAACCAATAATGGGAAGGAAAATCTGGAGTCCGTGCGTGTAAACATACTTGTTAAAAGTTAATCATCCTTATCAGTCATGTTTTTCTCCGTCCTGTGGTTTTAGGTTTGATGGAAAAATAACGTAATTATTTTTCTTTTCTTCTTAAATAGAGTGAAACAAAGTGAAAGCAAATTTGTGTCTGCTGTTGTCCTACACTGATGTTACGATGTGTGTTAAGGTGCATTTGGAGCAACTTTGTTCTCTAGAATTTAGACAAATCAATAAAATAATTTGCTCAAACAATAAGATCCTTCATATTAATGAGTTCTCAACACTCTTCTCTACAACTAATGAAACCTTTAAGAGGGGGGCTGTAAAGCACTCAGCACTCAGGGGCAGCTGCACCCCTCACCCACTCCCGATTCTCCTCCTGCTAGGAGTCGTAATTACTGATGTCCTGCGAGCCCCTCACCCTGACTTCATCCATTAAAGGCCCAAAAGCCATTTCCCTAATCAGTGCTGGTAGGGGTCTGGCTTCTGGTTGGCTTCTGTGTTTTATGTCAGTGTTACAGACGATAATCTCACTTTGATGTTGAGTTGGTAAATTGCAGTTGGCTGTCCACCGTGGAGGTGGCATCATGCGGACGTCAGCTTTGTGTTTTATGCTCATGACTCCGGCCTTGCCGAGACAAAACAGTCCAGTATTTATGTTGAAATCTAATTTTCTGTTTGTCTTCCCTTCTTTTTTCCCCCTATGTCTGATTTCCTTGCCAATACCTCAGAGGGGCATAGAGGGCTTTTGGAAGTCGGTGGCTCACTATGTGCCTCGGGAGCCAACAGAGATGAGAATCCTCAATCCCTACTTCATCCAGGAGGCTGCCTTCCAGTTCATAGGCCTGCCCTTCAACAATGGCCTCATGGGCAAAGGGGTAAGACACATGCCGACATCAGTTTAAGAAAATCGTTAAAAAGTAACACCAAGGGAAACATGAACATGCTGAAATGGTCATTATCAGTACAACACTGTGCCCTGCAAAAGTCTTTTCAAATAATTGATGAAAGAAAAAATACAATCAAAAGCCGTTCACCTTCATTTTATAAGTTGTGTTTGTAACTCATGTAACAGGAGCTCTGATCAGGCAACAGCTGTGCCAACGTCATGGCACTGAAATGTCCTTTTTGTCAAGTGTCACTATCTTTCTCAAGATGAATATGATCTGCTCTTGAACTGGGTTTTACTGAAGGTTTTTTGCATTTTAAGAAATTATATAACATAATAAAACTGAAGTTACAGGTCATAAAATAGAGAAAAGAGGAAAATGAAATAATACATTCAAAGAAAGTGTGACAGATACAAAAGGAAAATAAATAAAATAACTGGTTACGTAAATAACAGTTCACAGGATATAATTTAACTGGTCACATACATATTAGTTCGTAGTATATAATTTAACTGGTTATATAAATATCTGTTTGTAGGATATAATTAACTGATAAGGGTACAGTCACACAAGAGTGAAATTAACATTGTTGTGTATTTGCCTCTTGTTCAGTTCCATTCATTGTGAGCAGAGGGGTGAACCAAATTGAACTCTGACCGGCAAAGTTTCAGCCTTAACCAGTAGCAAAGGAATTTGTGCAGAGGAGATGCTGTGTTTAACCAGCCAATAGTGTGATACTGGCCATAAAAAACAAACTGCCCCACATAAAAGATGCTCCCTGGCTGGCAGTGAGTCAGGAGAGAGGCGTGGATCGGAAGACAATGGAAATGTACTAATTACATCATGTTTTGTGGTGTTTATTAGCAGGTAGCCAACATTAGCCAACAAGTAAGTGATAGTCATTGGCCTGCATTCGTTCACATGTGACCGTACCCTAACTGATGCATTTAAATAAGAGGATATATTATACTAACATAGGACACAGCGACAGGCACCATAAATCCACACATATACACACACAGACACACACATCAAAACACTTCCAACAAGACCCTTTGGAAGAGTTAAAATTGCACAGATGAATATATCAGCAAGACTTTTATTCCTTTTCAAAGCACTATCCAAATATATTTTCTCTAATGTGTTCAAACATTGGGATTCTATTTTAATGAAATTCACATGGAATAACAGGAAACCAGGAATAAAACTTAAACTGCCAAAAGAAATGGGCGGTCTAGATTTACCAAACCTGGAAGCTTAATATCACGCAGCACAGATAAGGAATGTGAAAGCGTGGACATTTAGTTGGACATGAACACATTTTAATTAAGCATGTTTGTGCTATCATCTGTGTCTCTTGGAGGTTCTTTACCTCAGAATGGTGGTGTTACCTCCACCATTTTCTAAATAAAAGAAGCAGACTCAAAGATTAAGTGGAAATACCAAACCATTTTTAATTACTGACATTGCCTAAATGTTGAGTACCTGCTGTAACCCTGTTCCAGTCTGAATTCCACAGCACTGTTTTTATTGGATGTTAGAAGCTGACGTATTTGCGTTCCTTATGAATCATGTTTGTCTGGACCTGAGGCTGCTGAATCAGAGAACGTTTTGTTAGAGAAATAAACGGCAGGAAAATATAAAGTAATGATGATGTTTGGATTCATGTTTTGTCGGTAAGGGGGATATTGTTAAAGAATTGGAGAAGACACGAGGAGCGTATCACTGTGGCTCTGCCCTCTGGGGCCACCAGAACACCCCTGCATGAACTCCACTCTGCAACATGTGTTCAACATGTGGGCATCTGGCCTGTGTGTGTGTGAGTGTGAGTGAGAGAGAGGGTCATTTGTGTGTGCACATTTGCGTCTGGGTGTTTGCAGTGTTGTCTCGTACAATACAGGCTGCAGGGTTGTATGATTTGGCACATTCTTTTCCCCGAACACGTTCCCATCTCTGTTTGAGAGTCATAGTTTATGTTTATGTACGTGGAAATTAATGAGGAGGCCTATTTGTTACACTGGTGTTTATGTTGAGTGTGTATGCAAGTGTGTGTGTGTGTGTGTGTGTGTGTGTGTGTGTGTGTGTGTGTGTAAATTAATCTGTATTAGAACACGCAGTAGGGGGTTGGCCAGCTGCTGGTTCAGCTCCACCTACCCTGAGGGCTGCAAATCAGGCTAATGATTTAAATGGGGCCTCCCTCCGCTCTTTATTCTGCACCCACTTTTTTTTCCAACACACACACTCTTTTTTCCTCTCATTCTTGTTCTCCAACATCTACACACACAATCACACACAGCCCCTGTACCCCCCAGATCTCTGGCAGCCCAAGGCAGTTAGGAAGCACAGTTCAACCCTGTAGATCACTGTGTCGTAGCAGGGGTCTGCAGGGGTCGAGTCTTAAAGGTAATAGTTAATCACCAAGTGCTCAAAGTCAGTTAGCAGCAGTGGAGCAGAACAAAGACAGAGGCGCAGGGGAGGGAGGAAGCAGATACATGAGAGGGATCGGACAGGAGTGCGGCTTGGGACGCATATTTCTGTCCGAACCAGACCCCAGCCTGACGCAGGTAATGTCGGCTGAGTTTGGTCTTGTCACGCTATTGTTGTTACCATGGTTACAGCTTGTCTGTATACAGTGATTAAACAGTTGGCACCTTGTAAATGATGGTTAAGAGGTATTGTTTTATATAGGCTAAAGGTTAATTGTTTTAACGCGTCTCACACACGCACACATTGCGCAACGTTATCAGCGGTAAAAAATTTGAGTGTTGCTATTGGCGTATGTCAAGAAGATCCCTATGAGCTCTCTTAGAGGCCGTACACATGCCGCGTCTTTAACCGCCTGGTAAATGCAAGGTCGGGCACTGGGCACTACTTATGTGCCTTTTTTGTGCCAGCTCTCCAGAGCGCAGTGGCAGGTTGCAGAGCTGATCTTCCTCCAAGTGCTGTTTTTAAGTGTGTAGGCCTATCGTCTGTGGGACAGATGTAAAGCTCTGGCAGCTCTGCACTCAAATGATCAACTTCTCCCCCATATTTATCACAGATTGATATTTACGAGAAAGGGGAAAGATATCTCTTGGCTGTGATTGGTTGTTCCTTGTTACATGGCATGCTGTGTGCGCTGCTGCGTTCCAAAAGTTGAAGTCAGTCTATCTCAGAACGCAGCCGTCGTGCCCTGAGAAATGAGCGCTCGGGAACGTGTGTGCGGCGTCAGTCTGGCGTCATTGAAAACAATGAATTTGAGAGCGCAAAAAACACGGCATGTGTACGGCACGTTAATTGCTGCTGCTGCTAGCTGGTCTTGTCAGAATCCCCCAAGCAAGTATCCCAATCTTTGGGTAATGTTAGGTGGTGACAAATTTTGTTTGATGTCCTCCACATGGAGCTAGCTAAGGTAAATGTACATAAATATTTACCACCTGAAATAGTCTTTATGTTGCGTTCAAGTGTGTTTACGTAAATAACGAACCCCAGCACTGAACAAAAAGTAGCCCAACACAGACAGTAGGTCCCTCAGTTTTAGGCTGAACTCGACTGGAAAAACAAACATTATTTGTAAATATCTGTCTGAAAGCCGGTCTGACGCGTCCTGTAGGGCTCTGGTCGTGTATCCTCACTCTAGATCTGACATTTGTCTTTGAACTAGTTTCAGAAACCAGTTTCAAAATTGTCTGATAAAATCATAACAAATGCGTTTCTATCAACAAACGCTCCTGGCTTGTGTGTGTGTTTAAGTGTGTGTGCACTGTGATGTTCTGACCTGCCTCCATCTCTGTTTTCCACTCCAGAACATTCCAACTTTGGGAACAGTCGCTATAACGATGGCACTGCATAATTGTGACGAGGTGGCAGTGGCTGGTTTCGGCTACGACATGAACACGCCCCACGCACCTCTGCACTATTACGAGACTGTCAAGATGTCCGCCATTAAAGAGGTGAGTTTTTGAACATCTGAGCGCAGCATTTATGTCTGGCATGTTTTGGTGAAATGAAGCCCATTAAAAAGTAAAAATGTGGCACATCATTTATTATGAAGGCGCTCTTAAATGAGCCGATTTCTACTCCATGCTAATGAGAACAATGTTTTCTGGCTTCTCTCCGGCCACTGAGGAATAACTGAAGAAACAAATGACTGTAATCTTTGATGAGGAGGGACCACCACTCTTGTGAAGGAGGGAGAGGGAAGAGGTGAACTGGCCGACAGCCAAAATACATTCACTACAAAGCCGTCACTGTTTAGTCTGACGGTATCATTAGTTTAAGAATTGTGCATGAATGGTACTTCTCAGCTTTTGTATTTGCATCCAAAGATATGACAGTTCTGAGCTTGACAAACATTGTTGCAGAATGTGTGGCGTTGCATTAATGGGATCTGTCCCTCGTGCTGATCGGCTCCTTGTTCTCTGACAGATGAAGTTATTCAGATATGGGAGTTCAATGGAAGCTTCTTTGGTGCTTTTAAAACTGGTGGGAGGACAAATGTCTGCGGTGTGTTGCAGTGTAACTGTGTCATATGGTGCATTTTTTATGTATGATAATTATGCCATTAGTTTAAATATGCTCATTTGGTTTAGTTAGTTTAGTTTTTTTAACTAAAAGAAAACCAATAATATGATGCATATTCTGAACTTCTCTTTGGAGTACTGCGGACATGAAACTACACAAAAACTAACTGAAACAGAAGAATGAAAACATCAAAACGTTGCATCTGTAATTTTGGCACTGGTCTCTCCCCAGCCACTGCATCAACATGCTGACTGTTAGTGCGTCATTTGAACAATCATTTTCTAAACGCGCTCATGACGGATCTCTCTCCCCTTCATCAGTCAAGTCTTCCTCTCGGTGTTTACGCTGAAACCCAGTGGAATCAAAGATGTCACTGGCGCGCTGACGCGTGTAAACCATGAGCTCAGTATGATGATAACCTTTGTCTAAACTCTCAGTGAACCTTTGGCATTCATTATCATCATCTTCATCAACATTGTCATCATCAGCCACACATGGCTAATTAATGGGAATAGTTTGGGGTTTTTTGTTTGGAACACTTTTAACCGCTGCCACTCCCCTGAGGGCTGTTTGGCTTTCTGGAACCGTGAAATGAGCCACGTTTTATTCCACTGCTTTGGAGAAAGAGCCTGTTTCCTATCTGGATGGGTGCTTTGAAGCGTCACGGAAATTGTGTAATTAGACGAGATACGCAAAAAATTGATGTCACAATAATCACTGAAGACAGTGTGATGCTACTGAGCTCATCTGCTGTGGTGTGTGAAACTTATTGACAAATAGATTTAATAAAGCTGCTATGATAAATATTTTTATATCAGCAGTGGATCAAATGAAACTTGTATGTGGAAAGGGGTGGCTCGTATTGACAAACAAATCTCGATTCACTGTCACAGCTCTCATCAACCTCATTTCCAGCCGCAGCAGGCAGGTAGCAGCTAGCTGGTGAGCATAGTGTTGCACCTAGCAGCTAAAGACGTAGATATTTCTCTCTGATATTGGAGGAGAGGAAATCAGAGCTAAAATGAGAGATAATCAGGACGCACAAAATTTGACTTGAAATTAATATTAACACAGCTGTTTACAGCATTCATATGGCAGCAAACCATTATATTCTATGTAAAGATATTTAAAGTAATGGCGAGTGAAGTCAAGCTACCTCTCTTGTGTGTTGTAATGTTAGTCCCTGGGTAGCTACTGTAATGGCCACTGCTTTGCACTGCTGTCACACAGCAGTAACCGCTGATATTGGTAGTTGCAGAAGCACAGCGCCCTCCCTCCAGTCCCCTCAGGTTAACAACATTAGCATTGCACTGTTGCCGCTGTTGATTCAGTTTATTGAGTTAGCGCCGCTAGCCACCGGCTCACCCACCTCCATGTTAAGAACTGTGTGCAGACAATCCAGCCCCAGACTCTGAATCATAGATGTGCTCTGAATGTCATGTACATATCCTTTTAATGATGCTCTATGTCTGACCACTTTGGCACAAACGTCTACTTTGACCCAAAGATGAACTGATTAGATTGTGATGGCCAAAGGTCAAGGTCACTGTGACATGGCATCCATCTCATGCTCGTGAACACGATATCTCAAGAAGGCCTTGAGGGAATGTCCTCAAATTTGGCACAAACGTCCACTTGGAATCGAGAATGAACTGATAAGAATTTGATGGTTGAAGGTCAAAGGTCAAGGGCACTTTGACCTCACAAAACATGTATTTTGCTATACTGCAATTCATGCAGTAACTATGACAAAATTTCAAATAAATGTCTAATATGATAACAAGATGAAGTGATGACATTATATAGCTTAAAGGTCAAAGGTCAACGTCACTGTGACATCATAATGTGACACAAACACTTTCCTGACCATTACTCAACATCATATTTAAGTAATACAAGGAGAGACATTTGGTCAGATCCTGAATTAGTGACACTTATCTTGGATGTTAAATGCAACTGCAACTTGGGTTAGCGGAGGCATACAACTGTGAGACAGTAATTCTACTGTTTTTTCTTAGATATCTGTCTTGCCGTTTCATTTTAAACTTATTTGCAGCAAGTATTTTATCATCAGTGTTCCATCATTGTGCTTATGATGTCTTCAACTAACAGCCAGACAGCAGCCGTGACACAACACAAAAAGAGCAATAGGCTGAGAACCACAAACCACATAAGCTCTCCAGCTAATGCCTCCTTCTCCTCCTACAAACAAGGACACGTCTGGTGTTGCGCCTTATCTTGCTGTCAACCAAACAAATCCACCAGGGCAAAGCTACACTCCTAATGTCAGTTTACAGGCTGACAAGCTAATTAGCGAGCCAGATGTACCATATTGAACAGAGTAAACATTTACCTGCAAATGTCAACATCGCACAGTTTGGATGTTAAGTGGTGCCCGTCCTTAGTCTGCTAACAAAACACTTTCTGTCCTTGACTTGTAAGCTATATTTACCAGCACTCAATTTTTGGACGAGTCTCTGGGCCTCTACCAGCTCAGCTGTCAACCAAACAACAAACACCAGCCTGCCATCCCCGAGGCTTGGGGGCTACGTTTTGATGCATTTTGAAATCCTTTTTTTTTTTTTTTTCTTTAAATGTTCTTCAGATTTATTATTTAAACATGATTTTTGACAGCAGAAATAGATTTCAGTCTGGCTTCGGACATCACAGCCTTATGTTAATCTCCAATAAAATTGTAGCTTATTGTTCCTTTTGGTCCTGCTGTGACCCATCACATAGGTAGGAGGTCCGACCCAGACAGGCCGTAGGAGAGTCTTGAACCAGCAGGATAGACTCAGAGGCAGCTGCAGGGCCCAACCTCCTGTAGCTCTCCTCTTTTTTTCTCCCTCATATTCCCTCCTGTACGTTTCTTCCTCCACCCTTTGCCTCATTCACTCGCTCTCTGGCCGTTTCTCAGTCTCTGCATCCCAAAGCACCGCACAGGAACCATCGGCTCTGGTTACACATCGGCCCACTGGATTGAATCCTCATAGCACAGCAGGGAGGAAAGCTGACCCAGTGTGGCTTTACTCATATATATGCACACATGAACACCCACACGTATAGACACTGGGAATAGGAAAGTCTGAAACCGACAGGCCTCGGTGCATATAGAAGTATTCTCACAATGATCACTGGTTATTTTTCGTGTCACCCTGAATTTGTTGTTTCCTCTGATTCTCCCACAGTCATGGACACACAACATATCCAAGGAGAAGGAGTTCCTCCGCAAGCTGGTAAAGGCCAACATCATCACAGACCTGACCAACGGTATCTGAGTTTACACCCACACCCACAGTCTCCTTCTGCCTTTCCCAAAGGACTACGAAACAGGAAACTGAGAAATGGATCGACTCTGGGAGAACGAACCCTTAGAACCCGGGTGGCCCTGATCACTGTCTGGGTTTTTCATATCAAAGGAGATTATTTAAAAGAAAATAAAAACAGACACAGGAGGGTTTCTGTGGGGAGATGCACACATGTGCCTTCTGAACCAAAGACTCCTGCTGATTGAAGCAGGGAGCGGAGGGGGGGTGGACACGGGGAGGACTGGATCTGCCCGGTTCCTGTCTCACCTAGAGACAGTCGCAGGAAAGCTCTGCCGGCTCTGCGCTTCAGCGTTTACCACTTCAACCCTCGGAGTTTCACATGAACGAATCGTACAGAGCAGAGGTGACACGTTGACGTTCAGACGTCAGGATTTAGCTTGACTCACTGGCTGACTTGACGACGGGACAGGAGAGAAAGGAACGAAACGAGGACTGTAGCGGAGAGCATGTGTGGGGATGGGTTGAGTATTAGCAGTGCCAAACGTACCTCGTACAGGGGAGAGGCCGTCCTCCTCCTTTTGCTGCCTGAATGTATTCACTTTCCTCAGTGTAAATATCAAAGATTTTTACTGTGCTTTTTAACAAGCTGCAGCAGCACCCCCTCCTGACCCCAACCCCACCCTCCCCCCATCCCCACCCGCCATGTGTCCATTCATTCATTCACGTTTTTACTGCCTGTCCAGGGTCCAAAATTAACACTTGCTGAGCCAGATGACGGTAGATAAATCAGCGAGGGTCACCTGCCACACAGACTGGTGTCACTTTGAGACACTCACAGTCGAGTGCTTTAGTAAAATACAGACTTCAGTTCTTGCAGTTTTCTCTGTAAAGTCTTTGTATCTATAAAGCGGCTCTTTCTGCTTGTTAAGCCGGCTCTACACAGAGCGGCTGTGTGTGTTATCCCCATGTGGCGGCTTACATCAGGTCATTAAAAAAGATAAAATAAGCTCTCTAAGATTCTCTACACTAAACAGCAGTGAAGCACTTGTCAGGAAAAATATATGTTAATTATTTTGGTCCGTCTAAAATTACTTTCTCAGCTCTGGCAGGTGAGCCCAAAAGTCACATCTGGACACTGCATCTCTCTTCCACCTCTTTGTCTCTTTGTAAATCCCTCTTCCTCTCGGCTCCTTCACGTCACGGTACTGTCTTCATCATCTTCATCAGACATACAGTAACGTGTCCTGCCCTGGTCAAAGAGAGCAGACTCTGTATGTCCCTCCTCCAACCTCCCGTTGCTGCAGAGTTTCTTGTTCTTCAGTAAATGGTGGAATCTCGGATTGTAGAATATAAATATATATATTTTTGTTTTTAGGTTAATTTTAATTATTTATTTTTTCTTGTTGCTGAGTCCCGACGTTTTGGTCACAGGCAGGCCTGCTTTCTGAGTTTGTGTTTTAATTTTTTTTTTATTTTTTTTTTTCCTCGATTTCACCGCCATGTGCTTCCTCAGAGACTGCATTATCTTTCAAGTTTGTGGCAGAAGCAGTGTTGTGTTTAAGCCAAATAAAAACCAGACTCATCAGTGGATTCAGTAATAAAATGTTGTTAGACAGCATCCCTTTATTTCTGTGCTTTACGCAGCTCGTGTTAACAGTGGACATATAATCCCAAATTCCTTTAAATTGAGAGGATCTATGAGGTAATAACTGCTCAATCTCAAATTAACGTGCTGATCAGGCCTTTGCACTTTGCAGATGAAGGTTCTGCCACACACTTCTCAGTATTCTCGTATTTCAACACTGCATGAACATAGAGAGTGTTCAGTATTACACAATCAAACCTTTCCCTTCTTCTTCTGCTCCCCGTTCAACAAAACAATGTGAGAATGTCAAAATCTGTTTTCCTTTTTGTCATTTTATCAAATGAATGCGATAATCATCTTTATATAGTGATGGTGCGTTTAAATACTGCTTCACCAAAGCAGGGTTTTGTTTCACAGATAAATGTCAAACAGCAATTCAATGAGATTTTCATCTGTTTTCTGTTTCTACTTCTTTTAGAAGTGCATATATTCCTGTACATTGTACACATGCAGCTTCACCTCCATTAGTCGAGCTCAGGACGCTGCTGCTGTTGCATCTGTTACATCGCTCCATCGCTTGTTCCTGATTAGTTCTTACAAACACCATTGGGATCGTGCAGCAGCAGCGTGTCCTACCCAGTCCCTTCAGAACGGCTCCACCGGGTTTGAAAGAAAAGATCACTTATTTGGAAACTAGGCCCCGTTTGGGAGTTTTCGTGAGAGCGAAGGTACAGCTGACCATTGCACTATAATGAGGCGCTCTCAGTGCCTTACACCTCATCACCTGGAAACTGTAGTGAGGAGTTTGACGCGGGAAAGTAACCGCAGCTGATCCAGTGTGTACGCACAGCTCCAGGTCAGGACAGGTCACATCTCATTTCTGTGATTTGGGACCAGTCCATTTCATATCTGTGCTGTATATATCCATTATATACAGCTGGGGAAGACCTGAAGCCCCATACTGGTTGTTTTGTGTGTTTTAGCCCAAAACTTTAAATGCTGGCTGCTGAACGGCAGCTGTTACAGTGCGAGAAATAATCAAATTCACTTCTTGATACGTCCTGCTATATTGCTCATCAATACTATGGTTTTCGGCAGCTTATTATTTCAGGGGCACTCTCCACCAATTTGACACATGAAGTTCAGTTTACCCATCAGGAGCACTGGTTGTATGTAAAGATGGACGATATGATAGCTCCCCAAAAATGAAGCCATAACATCTCAGGTACAGCACAGGTTGTAAACCCCACCCAATGAGCCAATCGAAGTACGTTTTAAATAAATTTTCCTAAAGATGGTTTCACACTGAGTATGTTTTTCTGGTCTGGTTTTAATTCGTTATTTGATACTATAAAAAGGGGCATGATGTCATGATTGACAGCTGTGTGTACTGATTGGTGTCCTAGCAATCAATGGTGCTGCTCGCAGTTGAGTCAGACAAACGTATGGATAAGAACTCAGTTTCACAACTACACTTCCTGATCACTACCAAGGAGATTAAAAGTACAAGTCATAGTGTCGAGTTAAAACAAAAGCTGCGCTCTATCATAGAACATGGGGATAATTGACCTTCTGCTAAGCCCCACCCCTTTGTGATGTTAGTAGTAAGCATGGAGCCCACACTGTAGCTAATGGCACTCCCTGGAGAAATATGATAATATTTTTGGAAAAAATGAAACAGTGATTCCAGAGAGAAGCAGACAGAGGGGTCTACAGTCTGTGTTTGAAGGATATATCCAGGATGTCAAACTGACTCAGCAGCAACAACAGGTTAAAAAGACAAAGATAGTTAGAAGCTAAAGCCGAACTATAGGCTAAAGATCACAGTGTAAAAGTGAACCACCACATCACTGCTGATCGCCACACAAGACAGTGAAGATAAAGGGAAACTTTGCTGATATCGAACCAGCTGTGTGGCATCACAGTGTGTGCAGATGAACAGTGTTTGGCTTCATCCCCACACCTGGACCTCCACCATTGGAAGGGCAGGAATCACTTTTACGCTGTGATCTGTAGCCTGTGATGACACACAGCTGGTTGGATATCAGCAAAGTTTCCCTGCTTCACTTCACTGGCTCCTGTACAGCAGGGTCGATCTTTGTTTCACTGTTATAATCATTAAAAAGCAAAAGCAGCATGTGTTCAGTAGGCTATATCTTTAGTAGCTAGCTAGCTAACCCTACACTTTTCAGTTTGATTCGGTTTGATTTTGGTTTTGGAACAGAGAAAAAACGTATATCATTAATACACGACGTGTAAAGGGAAACTTGGCTGATATTGAACCCCTGATATTGTAACTCTCCAACATCACAGCTCCAATTAAATGTGTCATACCCCATAGCTTCCATGGGGTCAAAGATCGTGTCCCAGCCTTCATTACACCCTAGACTACAAAAGCGCAGTCTCTAGCTCCAAATGACGTCGCTAGCACAGGATGGCAGTGCTTATATCCAGGATATTTTGGCTTAATTTTTGTACAGTGAGATATAGAAACGCATCCTTACATACAGTCTATGGTCAGGAGGAGAACCCCTCAGCCTGTGAGAACAGTTGGCTCTGGAGTCTGAGATAATGTGGGATCTGGTGTGTTTTTTGAAGCTTGACTCGTACAGGGACTAAAAGTCAGGATATCTTTGCTCTCTGCTGCTACGATTTTGATTTCTTTTTTGATCCGTCTCCTGTGAGGCCCCTTACTTTTATGGATGTGCAATGCCAAATCACTGGAGTCCCTCTGTAATGCTTGAATGTTCCTTGAATGCAGGGAGAGTTTGGTCCCTTCTGACTGCAGCAGGGCCATGTCACTATAATGTGACTCGACAAAAAAATAAAGGAGACTGTCACAGGTTATGGATAACAAAGGGGTTAGATTAAAGCGTACTGAAATCATTTGAAACCAGTTGCTGTTGAAACACAGAAAATCAATCTAAAAGTCTCCTTGTATGATTTGGTCATTAATAAAGTAAAATAAGTGTAGTCAGCAGGCTAAAACACACCAAGCCACCAGTATGGTCTTTAAAGCTTTGAGACTAAGCAGACCCTCAGTTGGAGTTTCTTCCTCTGTTTTTTTTTTTTCTTTTTCTTCTTCTAGGTTTTGAATTTTTACGCATGCTGGAGGAGTTCAAATGGATTGGACCCAAATCGCCTCTTCTTCATAACCTGTTCATGTTAAAGCAGAATGTATTCGCTTTTATCATTGATCATATTTATGATTTTTTTTTTTTTTTAATTCCACCACCATCAGAAGGAAGTCAAAGTGATCAAAGTGTTACTGTTTGTTTTTTATATACAGTTATAAATGGCTTTCTGCAACTCAATAAATAAGTTTGTAATGGAAATTTGTCTGTGTGCATTTTTTTGTACATACATATTTCTGTACACTGTGAATTTTCAGTATGTATAGTAAATATTTTTGATGTATTTATAGTCTCTGTTTTATCTCAACAGACAGGCAGGGCTTTTCATCCTTGCTTTTGTCAGAGTGTGACAGCAGGCGGCCTGAACGTCTTCGCAGATGGCTTTTCAAAGCGCAGTGTGGCCTTCGCTGCCACATACAGTTGAGGGAGGCCTCATGTTTTGCAGCATGCTTCAGGTATTATACTGTCTGTGTGTCCATTAGTCTGTTTCAGGGGTTATGAACTGCAGGAAGCTCGCAGTGAAGATGAAGAAGAGATGGAACGGAGGAGTGTGGAAAAGGGGATTTCCTCTCCTGCTCTGTACTCTGTATCTCCTACCTGCAGAGCTGGAGGAAATCATTTTTCAATCCTCCATCCACCGGACTTCCTCCCTAATGTACTCTCCGCTTTTCTCTTGTGTGTTTATGTCTGTCGCACTCCGTGTCCTTCTCTGACTCGCTTTTTCTCCCCTCACCCGCTCCTTTGCCCTCATTCTTTCCATTTCGCCGTCTGTTCCCATCCCTGCGCCGTGTATTTCTTTCTTGTCACCTGCTCAACTTTGAGAGAGATCTTGTTTCATTGCTGTAGCCACGAGGGACTCATTTGAGACCTGTTGCTCGCACACAATAAACACACGGGCGATTCAGCTGCAGCCGTGAATCTCTCACTCACTTTCACACACCACAACATCACCATAAAGCAGGGGAGCATTTCTCAGAAGGAGCGAGAGCAGGCTGTCCAGCTGTGGCTGCTGCAAGTCAGTATGTGTGTGAGGTGAAAGAGGACAAGACGCTGAGGGCCCTTAAAGCGCCGCTGGACCGTCCCATCCTGCTGTTAATGGGGTGCCAGAAACTTTCGGCCCCCACATGTCACGCCTCGCCGGTCACCAAAACCACCTCGCTCTGGCCACTCTGACTCAACAGATTTCCTGACCTCCACAGGGTCGGATCGAATGCTCTCCCCCTGCAGCAGGAGGATATTTGCCACCTGGGATCTCCCCGAGGCAGCTGACTGGGCCGGCCGGCTGGAGGCGGTCGTTCCTGTTTGTCCGGCGGAGAGGGGTATGAGCACGCCTGCACCTCTTCAGCCGACGGGCCTTTTATTCTCGGCGACAGGTTCCCCGCCCCACCTCCTCTCAGTAGGATTGGAACGGAGGGGCCACGACCTCTGGGGCCTGAAATTTAAACTGCTCGTAAAAAGAGTTGGAACGGGGAGAGAAAACACCCATTCAAGCACCCATTTTCCCCTCTGTGTTTACTTAATGTCGGGTCAGCTGAGATGAAGGAAAACAACATTCCCTTCTTTACACGCTGTCCCACATCCTGTCAGTTTACCTTTGTCTGTGGATGTGACTCATATAGAGGGCTGCCGTGCACCTGTGTCACTGAAGTGTTTCTTGCTGTCCTGCCAACTTGTAATTCTCTGCTCACTTCTAGTAAATATCAATAAATATATAGTTTCAGAAAGACAAAACATTTCAAAGATGACACTGAATTGTTAAAAGATGGCAGGACTGTGTTTCTAGTTTTTCTGATTGTTTGTCTGCCCCGCTGCGATGGAAACGCACTAACATGTGCTCGAAGGCAAGAAGCAACCCAGAAACATCTGTAAGCTAGAAACACTTCCCAGTCAGCTCTGTGGCCTTTAGGATGACGTACCAGGAGGAGAAAGTACAAATATATTTTCATTTAATTTCAGCAGAGCGCATTTCGCAACACCTCGTCCTCAAAACAGCAATAAGATAAAATAAATGTTGTCACAGTTGCAGTCCTGAAGGGCTCTGGCAACATTGTGCTCAGTAATGTTAATACTATATTTATGTTTAGCCACCTGACAACGTTTGCTGTCTGCAGCTAACTTACTATATTCATATACACTCACTGGCCACTTTTAGGTACACCTTGCTCGTACCAGGTTGGACCCCTTTTGCCTTCAGAGCTGCGTTAATTCTTGGTGGCACAGATTCAGCAAGGAGCTGGAAACATTCCTCCAAGATTTTGGTCCATATTGACATGATAGCATCACACAGTTGCTGCAGATTTTTTGACTCCTATTCCGCCACATCCCAAAGGTGCTCTATTGGACTGAGATCTGGTGACTGTGGAGGCCATTGGAGTACAGTGAACTCATTGTCATGTTCAAGAAACCAGTCTGAGATGATCTGAGCTTTGTGACATGGTGCATTATCCTGCTGGAAGTAGCCATCAGAAGATGGGTACAGTGTGGTCATAAAGGGATGGACACGGGCAGCAACAATACTCAGGTAGGCTGTGGTGTTTAAACCATGCTCAGTTGGTACTAAGGGGCCCAAAGTGTGCCAAGAAAATATCCCCCACACCATTACACCACCACCAGCAGCCTGAACTGTTGATACAAGGCAGGATGGATCCATGCTTTCATGTTGTTTACACCAAATTCTGACCCTACCATCTGAATGTGGCAGCAGAAATCCAGACTCATCAGACCAGGCAACGTTTTTCCAATCTTCTATTGTCCAGTTTTGGTGAGCCTGTGTGAACTGTAGACTCAGTTTCCTGTTGTTAGCTGACAGGAGTGGCACCTGGTGTGATCTTCTGCTGCTGTAGCCCATCTGCTTCAAGGTTGGACGTGTTGTTGGTTCAGAGATGGTCTTCTGCAGACCTTGGTTGTAACCAGTGGTTATTTGAGTTACTGTTGCCTTTCTATCATTTTGAACCACTCTGGCCATTCTCCTCTGAACTCTGGCATCAACAAGGCATTTTCGACTGGATATTTTCTCTCTTTCGGACCATCCTCTGTAAACCTGAGAGATGGTTGTGCGTGAAAATCCCAGTAGACCAGCATTTTCTGGCACGAACAACCATGCCATGTTCAAAGTCACTTAAATCACCATTCTGATGCTCAGTTTGAACTTAAGCAGGTCGTCTTGAAC